GGGGGGTTGAAAGGGTTGATTGGGTACTTTTAATAGTAAGTGAGTGTGGTAGGGACTGTGTAGCACTCGGGGCTCGGGAAATAAAGTTATAATAAGCAAAGGAAAGAGAAAAGAGGTCTAGAACATATTTCTTGGTTCGTTGGCGAGAGAAGGTTTGGTTAATGTTATCATATGTAGACATGTCTACTAATAGAATAGGCCTTGGGGATCGTAGAGATATAACCTTAAAGCTTCAGGGGTTCTGAGACAAGAAGTAGAAGGGATGTGTATAAGTTACTCATGCGTGACAGTATAATAGTAGGCAGGAAAGTGTATCCCGTCTGAAAAAGAATTCACTGTCGGGGGAGGCCGTCTTGTAATCTCATAACTCATGGCTTTTCCTTTTATAGATGTAAATTACCTCACAGATTTAAAAACCGGCAGCTTCCACTTCTACTATTCAGTCTACTTAACAAAGACCCACAAACGGAAATGAAAAGTCGACGGTAAGAAGTTGGGCGACAGTACACCGTCATCTCTCTTAATATATGGTCGCAGATGTGCCGAATACGATTGTATAGAACGGAGGAAGCTTTCTTGCAAGGGCTCCTGCCAACACCAGGAAACAGCCTTCTTGTAGTCTTCTTCCGCTAATAACCTAACGCATTTCCTCAAATTCTTTTCCACTTCGTCGAAGTGGACTTAAGGATATAAATCTTCCGCCATTTTGATGTATTAAATACTTCTTAGACGTCAGTCCTGGATAAAACGTTCTTTCAGCGCGCTATCGAAGGAATCTGCGAGTTTTGTTAACTACTCTCGGTGTAACGCGTAGCTGTATACTGTTGTGGGGTTTGGGCTAATTAAGATTGCCGGCAATTAAAACTCAATCATTGTACTATGAAAAGTTGGCCAGTTACAGTAGTAACGATTAAGTCTGAGCCATTTGCACTTTTTACACCAAAACTCGGCATAATTACGTGTACAAAAAGCCTAAAAGGTTAAGATAAAATATAAAATCCTTTATAGTATCTCTTTATCTTAACATTCCCATCCTTTCTGTCTCTTCCGATTTCGTTTAGTAATATCAGGTATTAAATAAAAAGCGTATAAAGTTGTCTGTTTTTAGAAAAGTGGTATTTTACACCAAATTCGGCCTAAATTCGGCACAAAAATAAGTATACCTATAGGATTACGAGCTATACTAATAGAGACATTATATATAGCTTAATGCACCAATATAATAGTACTAAGAAGGTATTTAACTATAAGTATCTAAAAGGAATAATAGTTTTACCTTAAGTATATATAGTTACAAGTAATTCAAAACTAGGCAAATCGTCGATTTTTGGTGGGGTTCGGCTAAATGGCTCAGACTTAATCGCACCAACTGTATGTGATCTAGAAATGATGGAATGGGTTCTGTGAGATTTCAGGGTGAATCATGAAGTTCCATGATTGGAATTATTATCATTGTTTAGGTGATTTAGGTTCGGAGGAAGTGTGTGATGTGTGGTAGTTGTCTTGAATACAGGGAGAGAGAAAATGGAGGCATTGGCGGGGAGGCAAGGGTATAAAAGCAATGGATATCTTGGGTTATACCAGGTGGTGGAGAAGCTGATGAAGGGCCACCAGGCCCATTGTGGGGAGTTTTATCCAAGGATAATATTAAAGATATTGCATACTGGCAACATGCAGAACCTGAACAGGATGATGAGGGAATTGGGAAAGGTACACGATAAGGCAAAGGAAGTCAGTGGTCTTATGGAGGCAAGTACGTTGGTTCTGAATCAGACTATCAAGGATCAGATTGCCAAAACCCTACAAGTGTCTAATCTTTCCATCCATTGAATCTACATGAAAATGAACTATGAATGAACGAAGCTAACGCACCGACAGTAACCCACTTTTAGACTGGAAAAGAATTCCTTCTGGGGAGTTGCGAGATGGATTATTGCTTAGGATGGAATATACAAGAATAGGTTGAAGGAATAGAACAAACTTACCTCTGTAGTGAATGCTATTGTATAAGGGCAAGGGATTACCTGGTTTGAGTTCCACACGCCCAATCAGTTCATCGCTACACATTTCGATATCCTTGAGTCTTTGCACTTTTTATAGAAGTTTTCGACCGCCCACAATACAGGGTTCGTAGCTTGTTGGCTGGTTTGTAGAATGTTTCGTGGCGGGTAATTGGAGGGCGAGTTGTTGCCACTGGGTCTTCAGTTTTGGGTATTTATCTTCTTGTTGATCTTACACACGCTAGACGATCAGTACTTTGTATAATTCAAAACAAAGTAAGTATAGTAGCAAGAAATTCGACAAGAACTGCGAATCATTTTTGAAGCGTCATAAAAGACAAAAATCCGAAATAATAGTCAATAATTTAAAGTTGACGTCTGTATTTCAACAGCCAAAGTCACCCAAAAACATTTAGTCAAGAGCACAGAGAATCTCACCCTCTCGAGTCCGCCCACCACTTTAGTTGTTCTATCTTAAAAACAACCATACCTAAGGTGCATGTTATCTCTCCTGCAGATATACCTCGTCTGAACAGCAGAATCATTCTTCCATGTACACAGGTAATAAGCACGGCTAGAATCACTACGTGCGCCTGGTACACTTATGAAAATACAGGTTTGACTGAAATAACGGGCCTTATTTGAATGCTTCAAGCCCTCTGGAGCCTAACAGCAATTGTCAGGCTGGTTTTCATTGTCCAAGAAAAGTTTAGTGTCGTTTCGTTTCGTTCATTTTCTCTCGGATTTTAATTTTCAGGGACGGCAAGGGGTTCAGAAACAGTGCCCCAAAGATATAAGCACACCCACTTGGAAATACTGGGTTCTACAGAATAATGAGATGCTGTAGAGTGAAAGGACTTCGGAAATCAGCCTATCAACTTCAGCCCAGAAACTTTGACCAAATTCAGAATACATGATCACTTTAGTTGTGTTCTAAACTTCAAAATAGCATGGTTTGATGACTTCGGCTCCGTGATTTGGGTTTAGTACAACGAGAGCTATTTCCAGAACCCTACATCCGCGCATGGTTAGCAAGATCTGCTTGAATAATGGTATCTATGTTAACGCGAATTAGTGATCTTGCTTACCTAATTAATAGTTGCTAATCTCCCGACTTCTTAAGACTTGTATAAATTGGTAGTTATAGACGTCATATCTACTTTTCATATTTCATTATAGTCAGGTGGCGTAGCATCGAATTACAAACGAGGTGGGTATGGGATGCACTAGGAATAGAGGCGATTTAGGGGAAACACCTAGCAATTCTACACATGTGTTTCATTTGTGGGGGTATGTTCTTGATTTAGATACCTCTCAATCCGATATATTTGTCTTGTGCTCTGATTCAAAATTCGGTCAAGGACAAAACCCAGCTACCAGAAGTCCATCATACGGTTTACATAGTATCCACTAGTCCTCTAGCATCTCTAAGTTTTAATATAACCATAAATTTTGGAGAGAGCAATATTTATGGGATCGGTATTTTCCAAAAGAGCATGAGATAATAAGAGCAGGGACTATTTGCTCAATTTAAGTGCAAGTCAGAAATGGGAAAGGGATGGTCTCGCTTAGCTTAGCGAAGTCGTAGTTTCCAGGCTTGGCATTTCAGACTTGAAAGTTAGTAGGCCATCCCTATTTCTGTAAATATTTAATAATCATAGATCGTATCTTTCAATGAAGCTGGTCCGCCAAAATAGCGATAAGTTGCGAGGGCCAGCGTTATAATAGAATCTATTCGGCCCCCTCAATGTAATCAGAAAACACTTGCGACCTAGACGCGATGTTCGAGCTGGAACTGATGTCCACCAGAATAGTCAGTGGGTCGTTGATAATTCTGAACCAAGAAGATCTTAGGCTGTACTCTATTCCTTTTTCAGTCTAAGCTGTTACAATGTGACCGTGAAGGATGATATTTTGAAAATAGGAATTTATACAACTGTGAAAGTACTTTTGAAATCTAGAAATGCAGATGAAAACTAGAGTGGTCGGTCGCTTTTGTAAGCTTTTCCCGCTGCTTTCTGATTTCGCGTGGCGGTACAGGTTATCAGAGTTCATTGTTCCAGAAACTTTTGAATGAGGGATTACTTCTCCGGCCTATTCGACTTTATACAAACCTTGAATCTAAATCCACATTCTACAATAACAATTGGAATTTTAAACAAGGTATCTACACAGGCTCACTTCGTGATATACATTTGAGCCCGAACTGCTCCGTTATTAGATATCCCGGTTCTCAGACAATCAATCAACTCTTCCACCCATACCGGTTCACTTTAAAGCTACGTTCGAACCAAAAATTATGCTGCACCACCATAACCCCCCAGATATCCTACATCATTCAAATCACAGCTTTCATTATAACCGTGCCGTTGCCACGACAGTTTCAGCAGGCACAATTTATACCGAGTTCAGAGGCCGCTCTTCCAGAGGGTGGCTCTTGTGATCTGAATGTCTTTTGTGGCTCGATAGTTCAATCTGAAAAGGGGGGTCGATTCCAAGTGAGTCGAAACATTTGTTCCATAATCTTGGCTTCAGTAAAGGGATCGAAGCCGGTGACTGTGAAATGCATACCGATGGGTTACACTGGCTTTTTCTATTGCTGTAAAGTCTAGCTTTCTAATATTGTCTAGGATCGATTTGTGTAGAGGGGGATCCAGACACTCATGTATTAGATGGGAGTGAATGCATGGGTGTCAGAAGAACAATTTATTAGGTGAGACGGTCCTGGGAGGTGTATATCTATATAGTCCCGTGTACCATGTGGCAGCTTATAGGTACTTGTCAAGGGAGCTTTGGAATCGTTCTCTATTCAATCTTCTATACTGGCTCCCCCATGAGATTTTGGTGTAATCACGAGGTATCATACTGTTTCCTCGTCGTCGGTACACAATCATTGTTATAATGTTATAAAGGGGATAATAAAAGGGTATCATACATATATATTAGTACAACGAGTCTCGCCCGCCTTCTTAGGAGAGTGATTTGGATTCTCATCGAGTATAAATAGTAGCTAGTTTTTATAACCTAGTTTTTATAACTCTTCGCTCCCTGCGATTAATCTTAACCTTATTGCGAAACAGTCCTTGTACTATCCTAGTGTTACCATGGCAAAACCCCACCAATCTCTCATTGACCAAACCCCCCGAACCCCCGCCTTGTTCACAACTCCTAATCCCAGGCATGAACATCGGACCAGCCCAGCCTGACCAAGGCGCTTAGAAATCGCTACAGGAGACGATAATCCTTCTAGGACTGAAATAAAGTAAAGAAGTATTCCCCAAATGTGCAGAATAATAACCCTACGACCTTGCCGCTTCGCCGAAGCTGAACTTTCCATGGTACTCGCAGTCTCCCAATACATGTGGTTCACATCTTGGCCCTAGGTCTTATGGCCGTTACTACCCCTTACCATGATAGGAATGGTCATTGTCGTCTATACACCTTTCCACGAAACCTTATATATATATTTTGTTTTTCGACATGAATATAGAAAGCCTTCGAAATGAGTTGAGTTGAGTTAAGTTGAGTCGAGTTAAGTAGTGGCACCTAATTAACTTAACTCGCCAAGTACTCGAGTGATTCTGAGTACTACTCGAGTAACACCGAATAAGCGAGTCCGAGCCGATCCGAGGACTCGGCCTTAGTTGTCCCCCCTATAAACTAGGCTAAGAAATAAAGTTATATATATGTATTCCGGCAACAAGTGCTTCTAGTGAGTAGTAATTTAGCTACTAGGCCAATATTATCTTACGAAAAAGGAATAGTCTCTAAAAGAGAACCTTTTATAAATAATAGTAAACTACTTCAAGTAGTACTCGAGTAATTAAATTAACTACTTCCCTGAACTTAAATAAGTCCACTATTTATAATTAACTTAATTTAACTTAGAGTAACTCTAAGTAGTACTAAAGTTATTAATAGTTTGTTCGAACGCTGTTGATAAGTATTCATATAAGATTATAATAGAAATTTATTAAGTAAATATAGTAGTATATAATTAACATTAGATTTCAGTTACGAGAACAAGTTTCTCGTAAAGAGAAAGGTAGGAAAGAAGTATTCGCGTAAGATTATTAACAAGAAACTACTATTTTAAAGTATCCAAGTAATACTCAAGAGTAGGAACTTGTCCGCAAATACTAAATGCTCTAATATAATTATAATTAGATTAATTCGCGTAAGTTTTTAAAGTTTAATTAATCAATCTAATCTCTTAGAGAGATTCTAATTATTCAAAACATTTCAAGTAACAATCATGTTCAAATTCATAGCTTAGTTATGGCGGGAAAAGAATACATTCTTCTGCATCTAGTACGATTCCTGGTATCTCTGCTAAAAAAACAGAACAAGAAAACAGGAAAAACTCCTACAAATGCAAAAGAAAAGAAAAAAACAGAAAAGATAACGCCAGAACGCCAGAATGCCAGAACGCCAGAACGCCAACTCCAAACCCCGGAAAAATACATGAGAAAAACCAAATTCCAGCCCAAATCGCAAAACAACAACAAACAACAAACAAAAAAACAACTAAACATCTCTGGTACGTCTGAAAAAACACAAAACAGGCGAAAAGCCGTTGACAACAGCACCAACTCTATTTCCATGACAACTGCTATCGTTAAATAGCTTCCATTGCCCATCCGGGCCCTCCGCAGAGCAAACATAGTGCCCCGCATTGTCGGAGCCGCTATGCTGGACCACCGACATGATTTCGTATGTAAAGCGTCGAGGGTCCGTACTCTCTCGTGCCTTAAAGGCAGTGAGGTCGATGGTGGTCGGGATGTTGACGTTCGACTTGAGTTTCCGACCGAGGTAATCTTGCAGATTGAACTGTATTGCAAGAACCTCGGGAGCGTGTTCAAACTTTACAGTAAGAATACGCTTCTCCACCTTGCGACAAGAGTCGCAGCGGTAATCGTCGAGTTTTGTGGCTAAGCCACGAGCGATGTATCGGATCAGATCACCGTGCTTCTCTTTGGGGGCCATGCCGACCTCTATCTGCGTGTGGTCATCGTCGGACGCAGAGATTTCGCCGCAAGGGCAAGGGGTTTTCTGTCTCTTGTCATAGATACGGAAGAGCGAATCGATCATGTTAAAGACGCTCGTTGGTAGATCCTCTCGGAGGAGGCGGAAGAAAAACGTCAGCTGGTCTGCTGGATCTCCTTGTCCGTTATGGTTCCAGCCCCGTCGTTTGAGGAGAAGGTGGAGGGACTTGAAGATGTTGTTTGTGATCTTTGCCTCGGTATTGAGGGACCAGTAAGAACCAAGGAGCTTGCGGAATACGCAGGCAAAGCAGTTACTCGGATCATCCACGACACAATTATCAGGAGTGTGGTAATCGTGGAGCCAGTTTACGAATTGGGGGATATGTACCAGAGCCTGAACAAGAGCGATTCGATAGCAGATTGCGCCAGTGAAGTTTCCCAGCCCATCTTGGGCAGCGGCGGGCATCTTTGAGACGTCGTTTTTGAGGGTCAATGCCTGTATTAGTGAGTGTCAGTTTGATACCGAAAAGGCGGTTGTCAGTGCATCACAGAAGTGTGGGATGATGCTGAAAAGGGACGATAAGATGGACTTGAAAACAACATGATCGCATGGAAGATCTAGATGGTTGAAGAAAAAGGAAATAAATGGAAGAAATATGAGATGGAAATGAGAAATCACGATGACGTGAGAAGAACATATGGAAAAGATCTTAAGAGGGCAGAGGATGGAAAACGATACATAGCAGCGATATGAGATATGTCGACAACTTACGAGAGATCGCTTTCGCTTAATCATTGCGATCCTATCTGCAGTTCGTACTTTGTTGGTGAGTGGATGCGCATTGCTATGATCGAGCTTGATAAGTTTGCTGCGGTGGGCGTAAAAGTCGTTCTCGTCTGCTTCCGGTTCGAATGAGCGCTTCATGCCAGCCAAAGAGGCTACCTTTTCAGTGAAAGGCTTTATATTTGGTTTCAATCCATCGAAGCGGGCAGAGAGATCTGGAATTGAGGTCAGTGGCTGTAAGAGCGAGAACCAAACTTGCGCCTGGGTGCTGGTGGCGCGTGAGAGTACATGGAACGCGACCCAATTTCGAGAATGTACATACCTTTATCAGTCTTGGGCTTCTTTGGTTGACGATCATCACCACCGGGGTGAGAGCGCTTGGGAGATGAGGGTGGAGATGGTGGTTGAGACATCTTGCTCTTTCTTTGCAGTCGTAGGGGAAGGTCTTTTTGGAGTCGTAACTGAAAGACAGAGGGAATGGATATTCGGCGTGGTGTCTTGGGAAATGAAGAAGACGAAGACGGGGGAGAGATTTTCCTGGGGCGGACGAAGTCATTATAACTTTTGGCCCGTGGCCGTGGGACCGCGACAACACCGAGTCCCATTGTGCCCCCTTGCAATTGTCGCAGTGAAGGCAAGTTTTGACCTCAATAGTGAATTCGTTGATAGGCTATTGTGGCACTGATCACAGGGTGGTCGAATCAACGAGTGAGGTGAGTATTTGGCGAGGTGATAGACGAGAAGACAATAGAAGGCTATTCGAAACTTTTGGCGACAATGATGCTCTTGTTTCGAGTGAGCGAGTCCTCCGCAGAAGACTGCGCGAGTTGGGTGTATGGCTTCGTACCAGAAGAATAATAATGTTTTGACAATTGAAAGTATTCAGGATATGTATATCAATAGAAAACTTTGTCCTCTCAGACAAATGCAGCTATTGTAGTCACGATTTTGACTTGTGGCTGGCATGAAGGCGATTTTTGAAAACGAGCTTCTAAGAGCTGTGGGGATGTGATACAATAAGGGTTTAATCACAATCAGTTGATGCAGATATTAAAATCTATTGCATTCGATATTTTCAATCGCATGGGTGTTTATTGTTGTTGTGGAACTCGCATTGCAAAAATGTAAGTGAAATTGGTGGCCAGAGTGACGTTTGAAAATGTGAGTGCAGCATTTTTATTAGCCTCACCGCTAAATCTCCGGGCGATCCTGACCCCACCACAGCCAAGATATCTTTCTTGAACTACCAGTTTGGGACAGTATAGTCAGTTCGAGCAGGTATTCATAATGTTGAGAATATCAATTTGATTTTTTTCTTGGGCGTGTTCTATGATAATTGTCAAGAAGAAGGTTGAGGAAGTGAGTGTTAGAGTACGAGCGCTCGCGGAACGGTACGGGTACGAACATTCTTAGCTGGCACTAGCGTATTTCATACAGACGGCGCTAGTCCTATTCTAAGTACTTCCAGCCAGCCATACGTGCAGGAAGTGAATTAAATGTTTTCCCTCTACCCTCTACCGAGCTCTTCTCTCTTTATCTCCTTATTCCCACAGCTACTTCTAATAATCTTCCTTTTTGTACTTAGTAGTAAGTGTAAGGATCAAGGGGGTGTTCGGTAGGAAGAAGGAAAAGAGGATGGGGGATGTTTAAAGTCTGAGTGAGAGATTAGAGGTTGGAAAAAAGGGAGAAGGATGCTAAATGATAGAGCAAGGGAAAGGCATCACCCATATAGCAAAGCTCCTTAAGAGACGAAGTTTATATGTGTCGAGGACGGTGCTAATGACTGTGCCGACAACGCTCCGGTCCCGATACAGCGCCGGTAGCTGCTGCGATACCATGCCGGTGCCGACATGTCACCGAAGCCTGCCGAAACCTCCACTAAATCTTGCTTCATCGGGTAAAGTGCAGCGACCCAAAAAAAGCACCTCAAAAACACCGGATGGTACCGAATCACGTCTCACAAAAAGACACCAAAAAAGAATCATCCGAAGCACAAGACACAATCTACATGTCTCGGGAAGCTGCTGCATAGCACTGGGCTTGTGTCAGAAGAGTTTATTTTGACGACGTCTCTTGAAATCCCATCATCACATTTGAGGAGTGTGAGTGTCGAGTGATCATCCATTTTCAAGTGCGGGGGTTAGTGAGAGATTCCTGATAACCTCAGTTTCTATATCATTTACTCAAACGAAGAACAAATTTTGGGGTCTACTCCTCAGGGTCGCGGAAGTGTTGGCCTGAGTCTTCAACCCGGGTCAGCTTTGATAAGGTGACTTGGATTCGGTAGCGAGAAAGATCACTGCACGACATCTAGATCTAACCACGACCACAAGTCTGGAAAGTCTCTAAAAAGACAATTCTTGAATACAAAGTTGCATCTTAGTCAAAATGGAAGCTACATCTCCCAATACGGCACCACCAGGAAGCACCAATACCATCCAACCCCCCTCAATCTCTCAACAAGACGGGAATCCCTCAAACTCATCAACAATCCAACAAGAATCCTCCTCAAACCCAGCGCAGTATGAAGAACAACACGTCCACACAGTCTACAACGAAATCGCCCCCCACTTCTCCTCAACCCGCTACAAACCCTGGCCCATCGTCAAGACCTTCCTGCAATCCCAACCGCCCGGGTCCCTAGGCCTCGACATCGGCTGCGGGAATGGAAAATACCTCCCCATCAACCCATCCGTCTTCATCATCGCCTCCGACCGCTCATCAGGACTGATCAAATTCGCTTCACAGCACCAACCCCATTCCGCCATCATCGCGGACACACTTGCACTCCCCCATCCTAGAGGAAAATTTGATTTTGCGATTTGTATTGCGGTGGTGCATCATTTGTCGACGGCGAAGCGGAGACGGCAGGCTGTGCATGCGATTTTGGAGACGTTGAGTGGTAAGGGGAAGGCGTTGATTTATGCGTGGGCGTTGGAGCAGAGGGATAGTAGGAGGGGGTGGGATGAGGGTTCGGAGCAGGATGTTATGGTTCCTTGGGTGATGAAGAAGGCGAAGAGGGATTTGGCGGAGGGAGAGAAGAATGAGACGACGTTTCAGAGGTATTATCATCTTTATCGGAAGGGTGAGATGGAGGAGAATGTTGAGGCGGCTAGGGGTGTGGTTGTGGAAGCTGGGTATGAGAAGGATAATTGGTGGGTGATATGTTCAAGGGGGAAAGGGTTTGAAGAGGGGAAGGAATTATGAAAAGTTAAGAATTGAATGAACTGAAAATAGATTTCGCAAGATACCAAAGCTTCATATTTTTGAAGAGTGAAAGGGGGGGTCTTTTCCATGCGTCAGTTTCTGTTGTCAGGCGGGATTCAGGGCAGAAGACTCGAATGTTGTAACTTGTAAGCTAAGTTGCGAGCTAGCACTTATACTTTATGGAGCGAATCGAAGAACCCGCTAGCAATATCGAACTAGCTGAATAGTAGATACTTTATATATTGTCTACTTCCCTGAAATATTGATTCTCCTTATTCCTCTTTTCCTAGTATAAACTACTACCTTTCCTATCCTATCCTATCCATTATATCCCATTCTACTCCTAATACCCTCCTATACCACTAACCCCCTACTCCTCCTTCCTCCTCCCATCCTCAATCTACAATTCTCTAAATAATAAACAACAATCTATCCCATCCCCTTATCCTTCCTCCCCTACTCCCTCTCAATAAACAAACAAAACCACCTATCTAAACCCACGATATATCGCTCAGAGAGTTCGTTGATACCTAGGAACCTGGGAAAGAATTATAATAGAAGGATTAACGGTACACACTCCCCTCCCCTTCCCCATTCCCATTCCATTCCAAAACAAAACATATCCACCAAAAAAAACATATCCACCAAACAAAACATATCCACCAAACCAAACAAAAACCCACCACCCAACCACCCAACCACCCCAAAAATCCACCCACCTAACACAAACAACAACCCCTTAATCTCAAAGTCCTCACCAACTACTGTATCCCCCTAAGCCAAAAAGCCCCCCAAAAAAAACCAGAACGCGATGACACACGGAAACCAAATATGTACACCCCTTAAATCTAAAATCCGAGTCCTTTATTAGTTAAGGTCTAACGACCTACTTATAGCTTATTTCGACGATATCTCTCTCTTGTCTTCTATCGATACGTTTCTTAATATATACTGAACTACCAACCGCAAAATCCCTCTTTTCTATCACAACCCGTCAACCTCTCACCCTCACCCTCACTCTAACCAAAAAACCTCCAACCTCCACCCTCAAAACCCAGCTCTCACCCTCACACTAACCTCCACCCTCACACTAACCTCCACCCTCACTCTAACCTCCACCCTCACCTCCCCCTACCCACACCCTCAGACCTCAGAACCCAGACCTCAAAATCCAACTCTCAAGACCTCAAAATTCCAAAAAGAGAAAGAAAAAGAAGAGAAAACAGAAAATAACCCTAATATTCCACAACTCTACAACTCCAATCTAATCTAACCTACGTACTATACAAATTTCCCCTCCCCCATCCCTTCCCATTCCCTCTTCCCCATCCCATTCCCTCTTCCCCATCCCATTCCCTCTAACCCCCATCCCATTCCCTCTAACCCCCATCCATCCCATCCATCCCCTCTCTCTAACCCCATCCCTTCCCCCATCCCAACTCAACCTATCCCATCCAATTTTGAATTACCCCACACACCTCTAAGGGTCAAGAAGCAAAAGAACTAAAGCCACAACAACCACAAAGCCACAACGAAAAACCCAAAAGAAAAAAAGGGGGGGAATAAACAAAAAAAACAAATAAAAAAAAAACAAAAAAACAAAAAAGAAAAAAGAAAAATCTCAAGTCATGCCTCATATACTCATCTCTTCATCTCATCCCATCCTAAATTCCATCCCAGAAAAATGCATAGCATGCCAAAAATCCAAGAAAGAAACCCTTTCTTTTCACCTGAACCTTTTCACCCGAACCCCAAAAGCCGAACCCCAAAAGCCAAATCTGAAAGCCAAAAACCAACAGAAATGCAGAGATGCAAAGATGCAAAGATGCCAAATGCCAAACACCCACATAAAGAACAAAGAAGATATTTTCTTTTTTTCCGCTCCACGTCGCTTTGCCTCGATTTGCCCGACCCGTAGGTCCAAAGTCTATCCAAAGGTGCGTGCAATCCAGTCCAATCCGAAAAATGCAAGAGTAGAAGAGGAAGACGTGCCAACAAAAAGAAAAATAGGGGAAAAAACCCAGATAACGCCTCATCACCATAAACCAGTCGGTTAACCACAATGTCAATTCAATGATCCCAATCCCATCTCATCCATCCGTAACAGGTCCCACGACCTCCAAAAACTCCACACAACCCCACGCCCACAACCGTTTTGTAAAAGCAAACACACACACAAAAACACACACACAAAAACACACAAACACCTCACTGCCTCCTCCTACTCGTCTCCCTAGGTTCCACCCCCGGACTCCCCCTCCTCTTCCCCTCCTGCTGCCTCTCCATCCCCATCAGATTCCCCACCAGAGGCGGTAAATAAGGACCCGGGGTCGAGTACCCCGTTGCCGAACGAGGGGGTGCAACTCCGATTCCAATTCCTCCGCCGCCTCCAGGACCGCCCATCGGCATACTCATCGCGTAAGCGGGCGCGTTGTACGGACTCACTCCCGTCGTCATCTCCGCGACGCTCGGTAACATGGTGCCTCCTCCGCGTCCCATGCTCATTGACATGTTTCCTCCTCCTCCTCCTATGGCTGCCAGCGCGATGCCGTCGCTAGGGCTGGGTGGTGGCACGGAGCGAGGGGTACTTTCTCTTCTGGCGGCTATCGTTCGAGATTGGGGGAGCTGTTGTTGCTGATGCTGGTGCTGCTGCTGCTGGTGCTGGTGCTGCTGCTGGTGCTGCTGCTGCTGGTGCTGCTGCTGCTGCTGCTGCTGTTGTTGTTGTTGCTGGTGATTAGCGAGTTGCATTTGGGGTGGTACGTTTCCTCGTGAGGACATGTTGACGCCATGTGATGTTGCAGGACGACTGAATCGCGACATGGACGAGGAGGCGGAACTTAAGGAGCCAGAGTGCGATTGAGAATGTCCGTGTCCTCGATTGGGCGAGGTTCGATGTCCTGGTGGAGGAGCATCTAGAGTTACGTTGGAAAGGGAGAAAGGGACGACTCCTGCTCGACGGGCCATGTCTGCTTCACCGAGCTGCCAGTGCATTGCTTCGGCAGCACGCCATGGGACGGCCATTTCTTCGGCGACTCTATTCCACATCTCTGGTTTGAACCTAGAATCATGTTAGTCTTTTGCGCGACATTGGAGAAAGAGGTGAAGCGTCGTTCGGGAAGAGAGGTTAGGCAAGAATGTTGATAATGTTGAATGGCAGTCTACCTCTCGTAAAGTCTTGCGAGCTTATTCTTGCGCTCTTCATCCCATTCGCTTCTTCTCTCCAAATAATTTTGATAGTGTAATCGGCAACTGATGGCGCTTCGTCCCGGTAGTCTCTTGGAGATATCCTCCCACTTCATTCCCTTTCCTCTCAGGTCAATAATTAGTGCATCCTCCTCCGCCGACCACTTGCTCTGCTTCTTTGCAGGCGACTCTGCCGGATGGGGAGGCATTGCTCGTTTTCCGCTTCCTCCGGGGCTGGGTTGTGTAATTGCATACACCGAGCCTTCTGGAAAGCCCAGAGAAGGAACGGATGTCGATCGAGTGTGTGGTCTTTGAAGTGGCGGAGGAGGCGCTATTTGCGCTTGGTACTGTTGTTGCTGTTGTTGCTCCTGCTGTTGAAGATATTGTTGATGCTGATGAAATCGATGTTCTTCTCTTTGCTGTTGATAGTGTTGTTGTTCTATTTGATGTTGGTGTTGCGGTGGTGGCGGTGACGAAGACTCATTCGAGTCTGTTGCCTGGACAAGACGAGAGATATCCAGATTGACGGTCTGATCCTGTAGATACCGTCAAGAATGACGGAATCAAGTACAAAAGTGTGTCACGGTGTCGATCTTGGTCTTCAGATCGAATGGGTCAAAAAAAGCCCCGTCTTTTCAATTGGGGGAGGGTACCCTTAAGATGAACGAGGGTAGTGGTCGATTATCAGTTTATCCTTTTGACGAAAGTGTGATGATCGGAAAAAAGAGTGTTGATGAGCAACCGGTCCACACGTTCTGACAGTCAGATAATATGCCAGTGACGTGAAACCCGTAGAAAGTAACCTTTCGAGTGCTGTGGCTCTGGCGTGGTCTTGCAGGAAGAATTTTGAGACGATTTAAGCTATTTTCGACGAGGACAGAGTTCCTTATTTCAGGCCTTTCACAAGGCGAGTGGGCGACACTTGTAGATCAATGACCACCATCCAGTCGATGGGCAAAGAAGTCAAGGATCCAGCCAATCGCAAAAGAGGAGAGGTGAATGAAAAGGAAAGTGCTGCTGCTGTCGCTACTGCTGTTGACGGATCAATACGTCTAGTCGTCGGCTAGGAGAAGGGTCAAGTGCAAGTGCAAGGGAAAGTAAAAGTTCGAACCCATGATCTCCAGCCGGTACATGGGAATGAGCTGGACGGATTGTCGGGTAGATGCGTGATGCAGATAGAGTGTAGCCTCTACCTAGTAGGGGGAGGGTAGGCGTAGGGTGGGCAAGGGGGGGGGTTGGTGGGTGTGGAGAGGAGGGACCCAGGGGAGGAAAGGGTCGTCAGGGAAAGGGTTGCTAGACCATGACTACGCATTCATGCATGAACAGGAACCTGAAGGAGATCTTTTAGACTTTTGGGCTACTCTTCATGAGAGCTTCCTTGGGCGCAGTGATGATGGAAATCGTGGGAAACTCGATTGAAACCCCAGCGTGGAGACCGTGAAACTCTTATATCTCTCCTGGTTCCTGTGCGACCCCTTACATCGGTTTTGGGCACACGTCTGTGCGCAATCTGAACATTACATACCATCTCTATTACCTCGTCTGGGGTGCTTCGAGGCTCATGAAGTTCCAGCTGGCCCTCTGAAAGTCCCGTGGTGGTGAAGATTCACGGGCTTCGTTCCATTGGGCATGTCAGCATGACAACCACAACAGTTCAGATCTTGGACTACTGAGCCGAAGAACCCACGAACAGGCGGTCAAGTTCCCCCCCGTGGGACTGAGGGACTCCCGCTCGGTCTGGGATCCCAGTTGTATGATCTCCATGGCTTGCAGAACTTCTTGGAAGACCGATGAACCACGATCTTCGTTGTTTCCCAGCCGCCAAGCCAGTGGACCTCAAGGCGCCCACGCCGCCCTCTCCTCCCGGCGTGGCTGAACATACGAACCGTACGTTGGGATTGATTTTGGTTGTGTTCGGACATGGTGACAGGTTCTTCGGATTTACAACACTTACAGTGATGATACTGGGACGCTGGATGCCTAAAGGAAGCAATATCAATTGCAGGCCCAAAACCAGCCACGTTCCCCGTTTGATCTGTAATATATCCCCCGACAAAGGAAACAATCCATCTACCGGTGGATGGCAAACCAAACTATTGTTCGCCGTCTTCAATAACGGGACCTCACATGTAGCGGTGAAAACTGCAAAAAGAAGAAGTCGGTCATGTGAGCCTTACCTTGGGTACGCCTTGGGTAGCTCGGCAAGTTGGTGTTGTTGTGAGTCAGGACAGCCCTATCGTAGCCAGCCCAGCTGGGTTTCTATGAATTGGGTTGATCTTTTCCAAGTTCAGAATAGATCATCTTTCATATATTTTCTCTTGTACTCCTTCGTATGCTCCTTCGTAATATGAATCACACTAAAAATATGTGACGGTGACGAGAATTAAAAACTTCCAAATTTGGAAGGTATCAGAGATTGGACTCGGCAACGAGGCGACACGGCAATCCATGAATGCCATGGCATTTGGATGCAAAAGTTCTCAGGAGGCGTCAGGCCATAAGTCTTTGATGGTTCTCTACGAGTGACATCTTGATCATCAGACGGGCTACTCGCACGGTCGCTCAAAGTATAATTGTCTTGGGGGATGGCGTGCATAGGCGGGCCGCTTTGGAGAGTTGACAGTGCTGTCATTGTTCGCTGGTCTCGGAAGAAAACCATGGCCGCTGTCCAAGCCCCAACGATGCTTCAGGCGTGGCCAGATGGGAATATGCATATTTCACTCGTGGTATGCCCGAAGCCGTGGGTGGTGTTTTGTTCCTGTCCGTTTGTTTACAAGTAACAATGATGATTGTGTAAACGGACCTGCTTCAAGGGGTGATCACTGGTACGCGGGGACTTTTTCTGTTAGGGCAGAAACCTCGGCTAGCGACCGATATTATGCCTTTGCGGTCCAGCGTTCCAATGACGAACTTTTGCTAGCATCTTGTCATGGATGATTGTTTGAGATGATCTCTTACCAGTAACAATTTCTCGCATGGTTTGCGACTTGCTTCTTGCAAGCACTTCTAGAACAATGTTTGCCCCTCGTTTACCGAGTTGAAACGAGAAAAAAAACCCCGACTCAGGAGAAAAGTCATCTCGTCTCAATTAAAGTATTTGGCTCAACTACCAGTAGGCGGCTACGTTGCTCTTGAACTAGTGACGCGGAACGAACGATCTGATAGGCCGACACGGCTGTATGGTGGCTGCGCTTGTGCAGTATGCTCGTACTAGTAGCATTATGAATTGAACTAGAGTCTGTTCAAGTCGCTACCCAACTCGTCTCAGGCTCCGATACGACGGAACCGATTCTTTTGGAATTGTTTGAGCGGTGAGGAGGTGCTTCAATAAGTCAATTGTGTATGAAAACAGATGTCGCGTAGCCATCGCCTCCATCAGTGGATTGTTGGATCTTCTGGAACGCCGCATGGCGAAGCATGGCATGGTTTTCCCAGGGGGTTAGCAAAGCTGGGCTGACCAACTGTGCCATCGAGGAGCGTCAAAGGAACAACAACCTTCCGAGCTAGCAGGGTGAGACAAGGGAGACAATGCCTATTCTTTGGTTCGCAAGTGGGTAGGATGCGGGGGGATGTGTGTGTGTGGTGGTTATTTTGGGGGGCTGGGCAGTATGGTATGGGCAGCAGCAGACTCCGTACGAGTACGTACAGTGCAGAGGGTACCAATTCTGTCTGATAATCCAGGCTCAATGAATGTTGTAGGTTGTCGAGCCCTGAACACAGGGATCTTGAACAATGCCGTCCGCCGGAAGAGCTGGGGTCTCCAAACGCGGATTGCCCAATGGATTGGAATACACGTTTGAGGTAGCGGGGGTGCAGGTGGTGGTGGTGGTGTTGATGGTGGAGACGGCCGGAGAATACGAGCGAGTCCGGGGTATAAGGAGGGGGAAGGGAGGCTCCATTCCCTCTGGTGTTCCACCACCGCAGTGCCGTTTTCTATATGTGGTAGGAATCCTGGAATCCTCCGTAGAAGCTTCTCCAGTTCCCTTCCCATCATCCTCAGCCTCTCATTCCCCTGCCCAACTACCTTGACGTCGCATGGCAACCAGCCATCGAGAGTCGGCCGCATCTGAGCGTTGACAGATTTGAAACCGAGACTGGTAAGCGAGATGTCGACTGCAGAGTACTGTAAATAAATAAGTATAGCACAGCACTTGTCGAGCGCATCGCATGGCCTTCATCTGTGCATGTCTGCATCTCATGCTCATGCTCATGCTCATGCTCATGCTCATGCTCAGCCCGTGCTTTGTCAACATGATGACAATTACTGTAGATTGATGGGACGAATGGATGGGAGGGTGACTGACATGATACCCATAGGGGAGGAAAGCATGAAGGGGGGGACACTGGGTTCCCGGAGAGGGGGCCAAGGGACAGGATGAACATGACAAATAAAATATCAAATATAACCGGGTTACGGAGTTAGAGGTAGGTAGGTACCTAGGTATAGTGGGCTGAAGGTTAACCTATGCAAAAGAAATGGTGATTCTCCAACAAGAGCGATGTCTATATTATATTGCCAAGACCCGCCCCCAAGAGATCTGAAGCAATGAAGTAAGGTGCAGGTGGTGGTGGCCTCGTGGGATAGATTACAGTGCAGCTGGGCACGACCTACCCAAGTAGAGTAGTTGTATAATATTGTAGCTGGGTAGGTAGGGGGTAGGTAGGTACTCGTACGTATTAAGGAGAGACCGCTGAGCAGGCGGTTGTGAGCCACTTCTCCAAACCCGTGGCTGGCACTGGCTGCTGCAGCCACCGAGACGCCGCTGCCCGTTGTGTAGGGCCGACTTTGTTCTTTCCAGCCAAGTCGATTTCTGTTAGGCCACGATCACGACCACGATAACTATCACCGCTATAAGATGACCGTATTATAGGCCGTCAGAGTTCGGGATGCACTGTGAGCTGGTGCTGGGCAGGGCTGTTGCTGACCTGGTACTGACCTGGTACTGACCTGGTACTGACCTGGTTCTAGTTCTAGTTCTGGCTTTCTGGTGCGGCAATCGGGGATCGCATCGCGCCCGCGATATCAACGAACCTCTGCCTCTGCCTCTTCGGTACTGGTAGTCCAGTCGGGTACCAAGTACGAGTACTGAAGATTCAACTGCTCCTTCCGTGATTCAGTGCTCCCTCAGTCTGCCTGAAGTACTCCTTTTCCAATGCTGCTACTCCAGTACTGTATCTGCTGCTACTGCTACTGTATCCTCTCCAGTACCTCCGTACTCATACGGTGATTCATTCCTCCCTCCGACCTGAGTGAGACTTCGATTGATGATTTGTAACAGCACTCATCAAAGTTAAGAACCGACTACCGGTACACTACCATAACCTTCCCCTCCCATCTCCCTCCCATCTCCCTCCCACGATCGCTCGCAAGACTCTTTCGCAGCGGCCATATCATGATATCCAGGTCTTACGAAAAGTGGGCGTCGGTTCGGATTCAAGAGTGATCAGTGTGTCCAGAACCCAGTAGATCACGCTAGTCAGCATCGGGCCCCGGCCCCCGGGGTGAACAACTCTATCGGGCGGAAGACCAGGGGGGACCATCTTCTTTAGAGAACAGCCCAAACACCAGGCGACGACTCAGCCTCGTTCATCCCTCCTCCCGTGGATCTCGTCCCTCATCATCGCTGGGGACCGCTGTCAGCCTCAAGGGTATAGGACAGTACAGACAGTACAGACAGTACAGTATCAGATCGTCAGACAAACCCATTGTCCACGTCCACAGTCCACCGCGCAGACGAGTCCCGAGTCCACAAAACGACCACACACGACCAGATAGGATTAGAACGGAAGACAGAAGCGTCCGCGTCGGCCTGTCAGTCTGTACGTAGTCATCATATCACGCCCAAGCACAATCCCACCCGGCCGAAGCAACCGACGAACCGAAAAACTCTGGGACGATCCGCTGCACGGCAAGAAAAAAAAGGAAACGTCTGACGCCCATATCTGCAGCTGCATCTACAGTACAAGCACGACCACTAAATTTCAACGTCAACCACATCTCAAATCTGACCGCATCTCAACTCTAAATACAATCCAACCCAATCAACCTCCAGGATGAACATCCAATCCGCGGGGGATATTCCTATCCTCATATCTTCCGAGAACTCGGGGTCGGAGCGTCGCATCACTCCCTCTTGGACCATTGGTCAACTCAAAGCAAAGCTAGAGCCCGTCACCGGTATCCCACCTCTGTCACAGAAACTGCGTCTGGAGCGAGCTGGCCAACCTTCAATGCCCATCGAAGCGATGGATGAGGAGAACACTCAATTAGCAGCGTTCCCCCTCGCTCCCTATGCCGAAATCCTCGTAAGTCCTCTCTCGATTTTCTTGGCGGCGTCGAGTCTGTGTGGTTTCGTCTCGCGAAACAACATGATACATTTGCTTGAGTACCGCTGCAGTTTGGAGGAATTTCCGAACCGCTATCCCACATGAACTACTCCGTGCACACAGTGGCGGGGGGCACGTTTGGGATACGAAAGTGGGTCCGGGGGAAGCTCAGAAACGGACAAAAATATGATGAAGCAAGTTACTCTTTGTATGATCTTCCACTCTATGTGGCCTTGATCAGACGTTGAGAAACTTCCATGGGAATCATATTCGCTATTTTTAGTCTTGAACGGAGAGAGTCACATTTCCATGCATTTTCTCGAGTGTCAAGCGACATTTGCGAGGAGAGTATCATTTTTTTACAATTCTATGGGATGATCGCCACGTGTCGGTATTTGACAAGTGTTGTGTTCTTGCCGTGTGGCTTCCGCCTTCAAATTGTTAGCACAGCCTAGGCGTGAAAGGTCAGTTGTATTGGTGGTGGTCCGAACCATCGAACCATCGGAACAAGATCGAACTATTGTAGCCTAGTTTATGGCATCAATGCGGCGGCTCTGACCAGGCAATACGAACAATTCCCATATTTCTTTGGTTGCAATTTTATCACCAAAAGCTTTTCGGGTTTTCTATTGCGTGTGCGTTATTGGCAAATAGCCCAGAACAAGATTCTTACTTTCCAGATCAGAGTATCCTGTAAATACTTTGGCAGGTCTGTATATCAAACGCGGATCACAAGGCTTATTTTCAAGTATGGAGTGCAATTATGTATTTTTCAAGCACATCGCTCTGCTGAAAGCTTTTCGCGGACTGGTTATACTCTACGACAACTCGTTGAGATGTCTCTACGTTCAAGTTCATCATGGTTCATGTTCTTTATTTTCTTCCAAGCATAGCAGGCCAGTACCTATAACGCCTATTGACGAGGAAATGCCACAATCATATGCTCCTCTCCCCCCGAAGCGGTTTGGATTTTCATAGTCCAAATCATATCTCGAAACTCATAACGGTTTTCTATCTTCTCAAATTGGAAAGTTTTTAGTTGAAGTTTCGAGCTTGAGATCCGCTTCCTGAAGCAACCTTTTTGTCACATCATACTCGCTATTACATCTCCACTCCTCCTCCACCTTCACCTCCACCTCCACATTCACATACGCACCAACACAAACACAAACCCTATTTCCACCTCTAGAAATTCACAACTCCCATGAATCCCTTAATGTTCCCTTCCCACTCTTTCCCCTTCCACTTATTCAATACTCAAAACTAACCATCCTTCTCCAGGTATCAGACACCCGTCCCCCAGGCCAACGCGAAAACTTCACCGACGCCTCCAAAGTAACTAAATACGAACTCCCCCCCGCCATCTACGAAACCAAAACGGACTCCGTCCTCGCCTGGAAAAAAGCCAACAAACTCGGCCGTTTCGACCCCGACGCGCCCGCCATCATCGCCTCCCGCATCGCCGCCCACTCGCACACCATCTCCGAGCGGGGTATCGCCGTCGGCAAACGGTGTCGTGTCGGTGGTGATGATGCGAAGAGGGGGACCGTCATGTATGTGGGGGAGGCCGAGGCGATTGCGAAGAAAGAGGGCGAGAATGGGAAGGGGGAATGGGTGGGGGTTCGGTTGGATGAGCCGACGGGGAGGAATGATGGGAGTTTGGGGGGGGTCAGGTATTGGGGTAAGGATGGCGATGGGAAGTTTGGGGTTTTTGTTAGGGGGGAACGGGTTGAGGTGGGGGGGTTTGAGGTTAGGGATGAGTTTGCGGAGGAGGAGGGGGAGGAGGATGAGATTTAGGTGTTTGTGTTGTGTGTTGTGTGCGTGTGGAAGTTGAGTGGCAGGGGGGTGGAGAGGGGTGTGGTATGTGTTATGTGAGGGGATTCAGGGAAGGTAGTTAGCTAGCTAGCTAGTTGGGTTCGTAGTATTAACGTAGTGAAGAAAGAATATCATACATATAATGGATGAATACTCTATCCCTTCCCGAGAGAGGATAGTGCTAAAATTAACGTACACACAAAGTAGATATAGGTGAATACGATCAAGAGGTCTAATTAAGGCTGGCTCTAATACTTAGTAACACGCGACCTACCTACCTAGTTAGCGAGCTAAATAACTTTGATTTATAGATATAGATATAGTGAAAATACTATAGAAGTAAGTAGATACTATATATAACGACTAGATACTTTAGAGTAGACGATTTTTTTAGGGTATTTTGGGGGATTTAGGGGAAGGTGTGAGAGGCCAGACCTCGAATAGCTCAAAGGTGTGGTTTCGAATATTCAATTAAGAAGTGCGTGAAGACTACATACATGCAAGCTCTTCCTCTATATATAGAGAGAGGAAGAGTCTCTGGAATATTCCAGGAAGCTGCCTAACGAATACATGATGTCAAAAGAATAGAACAGAAAAGTATGGAACAGCAGAGACTTGCTTGGCAGTGGGGGAATGGCCAGTGCTGAGCGGGGACTTTGGTCAGTGCTTAGCGAGGGCATGGCCCGAGCCTCCATCATGGGTTTCAACCCTCACAGAAGGTAGCTAGCTAGCTAGCTAGTTAGGTTCGTAGTAGTAACGTGGTAAATAAAGAATATTATATATATAATATATAAATACTCTATATAATTCCCATTACTATTTAATATGAATATAAATATAGAAGGAAGGAAACTAGCTACTAACCTACCTTCCAACCTTCGAAGTATACTAAAAGAATCTTTCTATGTTCTTAATTTAGGATGGGTATATTGATTAGAGGGGGGAGGGAGGGGGGCGGTCTTAATTTTATATTTTATATTTACGTTCGTCCTGCCCTGCTTAGTACTTGCGAGGGAGAAGGGTATACTAATATGGGATGGGACTAGCACGGCTACCACACGCTCTTTTCTCTTTCTCTTCTTGTATATGTATATGTAAATAGTAATAAAAAGGGCGGGCTGGCTGGCTGGGTGGCTATGATAGTAGGAACTTACCGTACGTGGTAGGGATACGGATGGTGGTGTACTGTACAAATAGTAGTGTACTGTACAAATAGTAGTGTACTGTACAAATAGTAGTGTACTGTACAAATAGTAGTGTACTGAACTGTATAAATAGTGGTGTACTGTACTGTATAAATAGTGGTGTACTGTATAAACGGTGGTATACTATACAAACGATAGTATACTATATAAACGGTAGTACTATATAAATGGGGATGGTGGTAGGCGAGAATCAGAGAGCCGCTACTGTAGCTAGGGCTAGCTACGCATCCTAGTCTCGGGGCAGGAAATAGAAAGAGAAAGTTATGAAATATTTTCTAGGCCCTGCCGGTGGCTAGCTAGCTAGCTATATATATATAGCTCTTATCCAGTAGGTTAGGTTGTTTGTCTGTTTGTCTATCTATCGTCACATAATGTAGAAATATGCTCTACTTGTACTATACTATACTGTACCTATTTTCCTTTTCCTTTTGCCGCCCCTCTTGGGCGTACGAATGGGGCTTGTGCGTTTGGGTGTAGATTGACATTGTGATTGCGATTGGGAGGGTGTAGAGAGGTGGATACCCTTGAAGGGAAGGAAGGGAGGGGAGGTAGGGGGTTCTTGTAGATGGATGGTGGGATGTTGGGAAAATTTATATATATATATATATATATATATATATAACTTATAGATGTCTTACTTTACTATTATAGTAAAATGGAAAATACTATTTCTAGAGAAATTAGATGTTAAATACTTAGCTATAATATAGAATGAATAAACAAGAATTAGGAGAGAAGCTAGCGAGGAGTCTTTATAAGATGATCAAGACCCTGACCGAGTGGATGTCTCTAGAGTACTATACTACTACTTAGGTAACCGAGATATAGGGTTAGAAAGTAGAGATAGGAGTATAGAAGTCTAGTCTCTAAGTAGCTAAGACTAGGTAAGATCTAGGCTATTATTATTGTTTATCTTTTATAGGATTTTAGGGGGGGGTAGATGTTTTAGGTTTTTGAATTGTGTAGGTGGGTTTTGGTGGATGGATGGTGGATTTTTGATGGATTTTTGATGGAAGGGATAGGGGAGAGGATGGTGATAGGATGGCGATTTTATGGCCTTGGGAGTGACGGAAATGAGTTGGGAGGGTGGAATTTTTAGGGTGTATAGATTTGTGGATTTGTGGATTTTGTATAAGTTTATGGTCTATCTGAAAGTCCATGTAATTGTACTATAAGATCTTATTAGAAGTATTATATATCTTATCTTCTTATGAAATTAAAGTTATTAGATTACTATAGATCTTATAGAATATATACTCTCCTTTCTTCTCCTTTTTTCTTCTTATCTTAATACAGATAGATAATAGTTTAAGAAGTAGAGGTTATAAGTAGTAGGTAGGTAGATGTAGTATTATAGTATGGAAAATTTAGGTCTGCTCTAGACTAGTATAATCTGGACTCTGGAGGGAAAGAATATAATATAGGTACTATAGGTATTATTAGAAAGATTTTTAAGTAGGGATTTAGGATAATAGGTAAGGCTACTATATAATGTTTGTGGGATAAGAGAGAGAGAGAAGTGGAGAGAGAGAGAGATATTCTAGGAACTTGGAAGTTTATAGAGAGAGGGAGGTCGTCTTTTTGGGTAGGTGGGTAGTGTAACGAATACTCAAATTGGCTAACTAAACTTGGCTGGGTGTTCGCTGGTTGGTATGCTATGATAAGAAGAAGACTATCGGGTTGTTCACTTGGAAGTGAACTCGTTACTTGTATCAAAGATGTCAAACTAATATGATAAGATTGATAACTAAGTTGAGCACGAAGCTCCTATCTAATGGCAGACGTGCCAGTCTTATATAGAACCTTCATACCCCGCGTATGGTCCGAGTATAGAGTAGTATAAGCCTTCCTTATACTTCCTTATACTCCGGTAGTATAGAGTAGTATAAGCCTCCCTTATACTTCCTCATACTCCCTAGTCACATGATCTTCTGTAAGGAAGAAATCCTTGGATCGCCTAGCTACCCTAAGCGATCCCCATTTGCTATAAGAAATCTGAATGTGCCTGTCGAGGGTTGCGCCTCTTATTATGACAAGTATCACGTGAACACGTGATTCGTGACAGGTAGGGATTAAGCTTGGTTAGTGTTTTATACTGGACAGCGTTGGACAAATAGCACTTAATCCATAAACTCCATAATTCCATTCCATAAGAAATATTTCTAGACCTTCTTCTATTATCTAAATAAAACGCTTACTCCTATTAAACAGGCTCTAGAATCCGATAGAACTACAGAATCCTAGATATTTCTCTATATGTAAATAATAATCGAATACTATTTAAGAGAAATAAATACTAACTAATTATATGTTCCGCTTACTATAGGTAATTAAAATACTACTACGAGTACTAAAAGATACTACCTATTATACCCCTTATAAAAACTACCTTAGTAATACGGTACTATTTGTTTATAGTACTAGCTTTTAGCGTAAAATACTAAGCGCGATAGAACTATTGGTCTTTAGACCGGGGAAGTTTACTCTAAGCTAGGTGATTTTGTTCTATGGTATAATATAGAAGTACTATATAGAATGGTATATTTCGGACTTTTTGTAAATGGCGTGTATATTCTATCGGGGGNGGGGGGGGGGGGATCTTGTATGGAATGGAATTCCAGATAATAAACGCTAATATTAGGAGATGGTAAGTAGATGTGGATAGCTAGAATCGTTATTTCGCTAGGACTCTGGGGATATGAGAGAGTGGAAGGATATAGGTAAGTTCTTTTTCTTGCCTATGTAAAGTTTAATGGAAGGGAAGAATGAGGGTAGGGGATTAGGTATTTTGAATATGTTTCCTAGAAGGTTATCCCTTCGTGCGGAACATGCACAGCGCCAAGGCTTGGCCCCAACGTCAGGTCTCGAACGCGCACAGCTTCCACCACTTCTACCACCACTTCTACCACCACTTCTACCACTACTACTGCTCCTTCCTTCTTATATTCGATATACCCCGCGCAGGATAGAGGAAAAACGATCCTTCAACATAGAACAACAAGGTCAAAAGAGCGCCAGAAAGGTTGTTAAAAGGCCCCTTATACAACCACTAACACTACCACCACGCCCACGCCGCGACAGGCCTCTCGCACCCTCTACTGAAGTGCTGGTTTGATACTTGGCACGTCCTGATTAGGTATGGCGGCTCGCTTAAAGCCCCATACCAAGCCTAGGCGCTGTGCATGTTCCGCACGAAGGGATAATCTTACCGAGACTTCGATTTATTATCCGGCGAATATACTATAAGCTACTACGAGATTCTAGGGAGTTCGTATTAAGATTAGAGGGAATATAGGGTTAAATTAGTAGGTCTTTCTTCTTTATAAGAGTTATAGTTACTACTCCGTATACACTATATAAAAAGTTATTATACTAAGCGTGTAGTATAAGTTAAGTAAATAAATATCTTGGTATATCTAAATCATGAAAAAGCAAGGGTTAATAAGTATCCTAGACTCTTTTATATAACGATTTTAGCTATATAAGGCTTTTAGAATAATATTAGTTAAAGAGTTAAGAGGGGTATATACTATATAAAGTAATGACCACGTTACTTATTAAGGCAGATGTTATTCTTTATAGTCTTTCTGGGGGCCTATGTAACTTTAGTATAAGTGTTTTCAGTAGACTACAGTAGTTAAGATTCTTAGGTAATGAAATTAGTTCAATAGGAACGATGATCTTTTAAATAAGTCTTGCAAAGTTGTAAGACACAACAGAATCCTCAACTGCATTCATGTAACGGCTCTGTGCTTTAATGAACAAACTGAAGTGATATTTGTATCCCTTATATAAGCTACTAGGGAACTGCGGTGTTGAAACTCGCTTCTTACCCATCATGTCATATATCTGATAGTAGATATTGTAAATAAATGTGTTATTCAAATTATCCAACACAAAAGTAAAATACGAATCCACTCAGCCTTTTCAAAAAACAAACCACCAACCTAAGCAAAACCAAAACCAAAACCAAAACATACGACTGAGCCCAAACAACCCCCCCCNCAAGCTTCGCCAATCAGACAATTGTGATGAATATCGGACGAAGACCTCCACGCGAACATGCAGAAGTTCGAGGAAAGGAAAGACATAACCTTGCGATATTGAGTCACTCAGTCATAAAGGTCCTCATCTTCAAAGGGCAACTTTGGGCGCGTCAATCTCGATGGTTCTGGGGGCTCAAGCGTAAGATTCCCCAATTCCTGATTTATCGTCCATGGACGGATCGCACCGGCAGGTATTTGACTCGGTCCGGCCTGAGGTTCAGGATGACCTTGTGAAGTCGTTGGAACTGGTTCGGGTCTGATAACTGGTTCGGCTCTAGTAACTTCACTACATCCAAACGGGCAATTTCGTGCAAGAATGTGAGGACACTTGTTGAACCCAGAGGGTTCGTTTCTTGGACTTTCCTCTGCTCTGATACCCCTAGAGAATCGGCATCTGTACCTGGTAGTTGGTACATTACGACCAGCCAGAGGCACACGAGGAGGCATCTGGTTGTCGACCGTCTCATCTCTTCTGTTAAATGCCCTAATGATTCTGGACTCCATCTGCGCGATCATCTGCAGTTCTTGACGATACAAACGCTCTTCAAATTCTCGGCGAGATGCTCCATTTATCAGAAGGCCGGATGGTACTATGCTTAGCCTCGAATTTCGATGTAAGCTGGGCGGTACCCATGTACAAGTACCGCGAATCTGCTGCCAGCCCCTCAATTCAAAACTGTGCATAGATGTTAATTGAGGTCTGCGGCGAGGATGTTCGTGGTTGCTGGCTTCTCGGGCTCTATCCCGTCTTTCAAAGCCCATTGGAAATCCAAGACGAGGCGATCGTGGGTATGTGCCTTGACTGGGAAGGCTTTGGATATCTTCGTCGGATCGTTCTCCAGATGCTCGCGTTCGTCTCCCTTGCTCAGTTCTGGATTGAATGGAATCATATAGACGGTCCAATTCCTGTCTGATCCGTGTAATCTGTTCTTCGGCGAATCTACGTCTTCTTGCTTCATCGAGCGATTGTGCTTTCCGTTGTGTCATTTTGTAAAGATGGTAGTCAAAAAAGGAAAAAGAGAGATGGAATAGAAGAGGATGAATTGTGTGGTGGGAAAAGAAAGTTCAATTGAAGGCATTGATGAAAGTAATCTGTACGAGGGTTGGGAAGAGAGCTTTTATAAGAGGAAGAAGAAGGTGACGTAATAATATTTTCGCAATCGGCTAAAATATCTGTAGAGTGTGCCGTCGAGTGTGCCGTCGAGTGTGCCGTCGACTTTAGAACGCGCCGGTGACAAACTATATACAAATAATTTTCAACACCCTCGATTATACCAGTAGTGCGCCATAGATACCAGTGTGGTTCAATGCGTAGTCAGATTCCAGGAGTTCATGGACCATGGGAAAGAACTTCACCTGAGAACCAAATATGTTGCAATTAACGGTTATTATTATTATTATTATTATTATTATTATTATTATTATTATTATTATTATTATTATTATTATTATTATTATTATTATTATTATTATTATTATTATTATTATTATTATTATTATTATTATTCCTTTTAACGTGCTGTGTGAGTCTGAGAGTATAGTAGCACGGCTGGGGGTTTTCCATCCAGCAGATAAATGAAACTGTACTAAATACATGTGTGAGAAGGGGGTTGTGGTGAATACAGTTGTTGGGTTGTTGGAAGCAGCAAGGCTTCTGGTTATAACAAAGGAAAGAAAAAGTGTGTTGTAGTACGCCCCCTGCGTTTCACGCCCTGTATCCTACTCTTCCTCGTCTTCCTCTTCATCTTCCTCTTCCTCTTCCTCCTCGGCTACTCGTTGTGTGTGCCATATTCTAGTAGCGATTTTGGTGGTGCGTAGGAAGTCTAATGTGGCCTCAACTCCTTTAGTGGTGTGAAGGAGGGATTGCATGGTGAATTCTCGAATATAGTGTTTGAGGAGGTTGCGCTTAAGTACTTTCCTAGCATCTCCAGTTTCTGGACAGCTAAGAAGTAGGTGTGTAGGGGTCTCTTGTCTTCTACATCTGCAGCGGTTGTTGTTGGTGTGGTCTAGATTGTGTAGGTATGATTTGAAATAGCCATGGCTAAGCTTTAGCTGGTAAAAGGCGCTGGCTATCTCTCTTTTTGTTCCTTGAGGGACGCGAGGCTTTGATAAAATCTTCCATGGAAATTCCCTTCGATACGAGTGTTGATTGGTTGATGGTTCTGTATGGTGGGAAGGATGTGTAGTAAGCTTTTGGTGCCATTCTTTGTTCTGGATTTGCCTTATTTTGACTCCAAGCATAGCAAAACTAGTGAGTTGAGTGGATGGTTGGATTGTAGTAGCCGCTTTTGCAAGCTTGTCTGCTTTTTCATTTCCTGAGATGTCGGTGTGGCCTGGTACCCAGTGAATTGTAGTGTTGGCTCCCTTGCTGCCTACCTTGCGTGCAGCTTTGATGGCTCTGATTTGGCAGTCTTGCCCTGGGTGGTCTGATGTAGTTTTCAGCCTCCATAGACCTGCCTGGTTATCAGAGTACT